CGTAACATTTAATCCCTGCAGCACTTCAGAAGGCATATACTCTTATTATCCTCATTCTATAGAACGTGGAATGAGGTTGAGTGAAGTAAAGAAACTAGCTCAAGATCACAGTGACAGAGCTGGAATTTACTTCAAAGTCAATCTGATCATTTGAAATCTGTCTTTAACCACCATGCAAATAAAAGCATCTCTTTTGTCCTTTGTATGTTCCCTGTTCCATATTAGCAAGAGCTAGGTAGCCAGTAGAGCAAGCTCCAATATTTGAGGGTAAGGACTTTGTCTTAATTGTAAGGAGTGGTTTTATTGAACCCTTGGGTGCTATTTGTAAACATTTTTCAGTGTCTTCTAAGTGGGGGTTAGGGAGTGAATGCTACCATTTATGGAGCTTCTCAAATGGTTTGCATTTATTTACCTACGTATAGTTTACAAATATTCTTCTTTCTCATCTCATTCATAATTAACTAATAATCTTGGAACTATTAAGATTAACTAAAAACAATAAGAGACTGTTGTTTTTAACTTTTTTAGCTGTGAGAAAAGCTCACAGAAGTTGTTTCTTGCTACTTAAATGTTGTTCCCTTACTTACCCAGCTACTTGGGACAATCCAGAACTTGATCTCCAGTAAGGAGGCTGCCAGCCTCACCTTCTTGCTTGTCCTGGAGGCAGTTACCCAAGGTTCAGAATTCCGGAATGAGTCCTGAATCAGAGACAAGTAGATACCTCACGCATGTACAAATGTCCTTCCTTTCCAGGTTTGGAGTGTGGTTTCTTTTAGATTATTGGGATCTTTCTTCCTTTGACATGACAGTTGTGTTTCTGTCCTAAAAACCTGGAGTGCTACTGTCATCCTGGGGCATCATTGAATTCAGAGTTCCCCAGAGGACTTTCTCGATAAACGCTCTATAAGTTTCTATCAAAATTCCACTAGGAATTATGCAAACGAATCCAGTCAAATCTTAAAAGCATTGTATGTGTTATATTGCCATAAAAGATTGAAACAACATTAACCTTACTGCTGGTTACTTATATCTGAAGGTTAGAACGTTGAACCCACATTTCAATCAGAAGTTTCCTCCAATGAAGTATTCAGCCACTCACTTTTTATGCTTCTATTATGACACAAACTGTTTGAGTTTTGAAAAACAAAATAGCCACCATTTTACTGACATCTTCATTAAATTGTCAGCAAGCATATGAAAAATTATGGAGCAAAAGCAATAAAATGAGATCCCTTGTTAAGATAACTATAAGAATGTAATTTTTTTAAGTGAAAGCAAATTTAGTAAGAAAGTAAAGGAATTAAGAATGGCTACTCCATAGGCAAAGCAGCAGCCTGAGCTGCTGATTGGCCATTTTTATGGTTATTTCTTGATTATATGCTGAACAAGAGGTGGATTATTCATGAGTTTTCTAGGAAAGGGGTGGGCAATTCCCTAGAGCTGAGGGCTCCTCTCCTTTTTGGACCATATAGGATAACTTCCAGAGGTTGCCATGGCATTTGTGAACTGTAATGGGGCCGGTAAGAGTGTCTTTTAGCATGATAATGTATTATAATTAGTGCATAATGAGCAGTGAGGCTGAACACAGGTCACTCTCTTCTCCATCTTGGTTTTGGTAGGTTTTAGCTGGCTTCTTTATTGTTACCTGTTTTACCAGCAAGGTCTTTATGACCTGTATCTTGTGCCAACCTCCTATCTCATCCTGTGACTTTCAATGCTTAACCTGCTGGGAATGCAGCCCAGCAAACCTCAGCCTCATTTTACCCAGCCCCTATTCAAGATGGAGTTGCTCTAGTTAAAACGACTCTGACAAAATTTCCCCCTTCATATTTTTAAGGAGGTAAATTGGGGTAGCAAGGCAGTAAGGAATTTCTTTTAAAAAGGCCAATATATATCAGTGATTCTGCAATCAGGGGCAATACTATAGTTTGATAAAGCACACTCTTTACTAGGTGAGAGCCAAGGGGAGAGACAGCAATCAACACATGCAATAAGGCATAATTCATTGTTTGATTTATCTGTATAGCAGATTGAAAGCTCAGAAAAAAAAAAACTTTGAGAAATAAATATTGATATAAATCATCAGATTTTCAGCAAAGATAGTCCTTGTTTCCCCTCAAAATAAAAGAAACATTTTGCATTTTTAAATATTTTATTTTCATGTCTTTTGTGAAAACATCAATAAATATCAAAAAACATACAATGCATAATTAACATTTAAAAAGGCAGTATGCCTTACAAGGTAGACATAAAATGTCCAAGGGATATTCAGAACATTTTAGTTCTTAAAGCTTCAACATGAGAAATGTTGACCACACACTGTGAAATCTTTTCAATAAATAACAATTGACATTCATCTTTACAGTTACAAAAATAGACACATATACACTCCCCTGCCTTCACATTAATCTCACTGGTCATTTGCTTGGATTCCCCCAGCCTCTATCACAGTGGCTGACATGTTGTGGGTTCCTCAAAAATATTAGCATAATGACTAGAGAATATCTGCAAACCTTCTCTACCTTCAAATTAAATAGGAATCGGTATAGAAATAACTTGGCTTTGACATAAAATAATCAATAAATATATTGGGACATTATGCAAGTAGATTCAATAATGCTCAATATTTTACATGTAAAATATTAACATAGAATCTTCAAAAACAAACAAACAAATAAATAAATAAATAGAAAGCTTCTCCTAAGCCATGCTCAAACACATCAGGTGCAGTCCAGGTGGCCTCTGCAGCTGTGTCTCTCTTTCTCCTCCTGTTCCTATAAGGGCAGGGCCTCCTTCAGGAACGGCCATCAGTGAGCTTCCTCCTTCCTTCTGGTCAGTTGGATTTGTCACTGTAATGAGAAAATGGGTGCCCTGAGTAGGTGCTTGGGAAAGCAGACTGCACAACACTCTTCTCCTGTCCTGTTCCCCCAGGCTCTAGAGTTTTCTGAATGCAGTTTCCCCAGCCTAGCACCAAAGTGGCTACTGCTGGTGACAGCTGTGCTGTGTGGCAGGGACCACTAGGCTTGGGATGCTCTTTCAGGAATGGGGGTGGGGCGGGGGTGGTGGTCTCCACTGTACTACTGGATTAAAGACAGCCAGAACCTGCTGCTCTTTGCCATACTGGGCCTCACTTAAGCCTCAGAGCAACCTCATGATGTAGCTACTGTTATTTTCACTGTTTGGCTAAGTCTCAGAAAAACTAAATAATTGTCTTTGAGTGACATGGCTAATAGGTGGTGGCACCCAGATATGTACCCAGTGCAATATCATTGTGAAATCTCTGCTCTTCATCCTTAAACTTTTACAAAAAACCAGGAGTCTGCTTTTTAGGTCTGAAGTTCAATAGAAACTAGGGGAAATGAAGTCTGTGTTTATAAACAGGCAGAAAGCACTTCAGCACAACTGGCAAACTCCAGTGAGAAATTAAATGAAGGCAGTTTTACCTACATTCAAGAAGGAGGGGAGAACCTGGGCGGGGACCCCGGGCACCGTGAATTTCCTCTGGCACCAGAGCAGATTAATAATCTTCATGGGAACTTTGTATAAAATAATCTTTTTTTCAGTCCTTCAGCTAACCCTTGGGTTTTCCTGATTTACTATTTCGGGGCCAGATGACAGTTTTTCTGACCAACGGCTGTAGTCGCCTGTGGCATGGAAACCATAACTCACCTGTTAAGAATCTTTTCAATGATTTTCTTAGCCATGGGGGATGCGGGGTTCAGACAAGCCTTCTGCCCATTCTTGAGTGTGGCTCTGCAGAGAGAAGGGAATCCGTGAGGCAGGAGGTCGGGCTGGGGACAGGGTTGGGGCAGCGGGAGGGTCTGGGACCGCGCGGTGGCAGCGGCAGCGCGGGGCGGGACTTACATGACTTCGGTTTGGTCGCAGTGGGGGCCCGGCCGCTTCACTTCCACACTTTGGATGTTCTTGAGGTGAATTCCCTGCAGGGTCTGCAGACACTGGCAGCGCAGTTCATTAGCCAGGGGCGCTCCTAGGGAAGAGGAGACTCGCTGATTGAGCGGGGCCGTCGGCGGGGGGCGCCCACCCCAGCCGCGTCCCGCCCGGGGTCCCCAGGACGCCAGGACCCACCTGCCGCGCGCCGGCCAGCGGCCACCAGGAGCAGGAGCAGCAGCGCCGCCCGCAGGAGCCGGGGGTTGCTGGGGTCGGCGGAGAGCGCGGTGCGGGCCATGGGGCTCAGCAGGCGGGTCGGGCGGCGGTGCGAGGAGCGGGAGAGCTGGCGGGGAGGTGCCTGCGGCCCGGGCTCTGTGGCTCCCCGAGGTCGGCGAATCCCTTTTATGCATGTTTGGGGCTGGAAATCCCGGAGCCCCCGGGCCAGGGAAATTCCCGGAGCTCCTGATCGATCGGGAGTCCGGAAGAAAGCACTGGCCCCGCCTCTGGGGCGGAGTGGGGTCGGGTCACTCAGGAGTGACGGCCGAGTCTGGCTGTCTTGCGTAACTCCTGCCAGCTGTGGGGTGTTCACTTTCTTCCGCAAATCCCTGAAGCGGGAGCGAGAGCCCGCCACTCTCAGAGAAAGGGAGATGCCGCCTGCCAGGGGCGCTTCGTGAACCCAGTGCGGCGCGTGGCGGATCGGATCCCTTAGACACACACAGAGACCGCGCTACATCCTTAGGAGGGGAGGTGGAGTTACTTGTCTGAAAGACGTTTCAGTTGCTGGGACTGGAAGAGTTAGGGCAAGAACTACCTCAGTATCTATCCTGTCTTTAGTTTGACTTTTGCAGATTTCATTCATCTTTGAAATAAACGCACTCTTTAACAATACATCTGTCATTTCAGATTAGGCGTAAGAGCTTTTGTCTTCTTCCTGGTGCTTTATGATCTTAAAAACAAATTATCACTCTGTGTGTGTGTGTGTGTATGTGTGTGTGTGTGTGTGTGTGTGCGTGTGCGTGTTTAATGCAGTGGAGCCAGGGGTTGGGTGCGGGAACAGACCCTTGCCAAGGGTCAATTCAGTATTTATTTTAGCACACAGTTTTGCAATCTCCCATCTTTCCCCTCTTTGAAACCTTGGAATATCTCGAACTCTAGTAATTCCAGCAGCATCACTTTTTTTGTTGTTGTGTGGGATGCTGTGTTTTGATCCATGGAAGTCACTGGGGAGCTACAAAGGGCCTATTGGGCTCCAGCGGTCTGCATTTTCTAGTACTGTCCCTGGGCAGAAAAGGCCTTAGACACCAAAAAAGGAGCAGGGAATGAGCCTCTGCTTGTTTACTCCCCTAAGCACAAGCAGACTTTTCTGATATATATATATATATCAGATTACTAATATAATTGCATTACCATGCCATCCGTATTTACCAGCATCCTGGGATTGGTTCCCTTTAGAGAAACAGCTATCAAGAAAGTTTTAGTTCTAGAGGAATGTCAGTGAAGCATTTCCAAGCCTGTTTAGCTGAGGCCTTCTCACTGGATTACTGACTTTTCACCATCAATTTCAATTCCCCATTCCCTGTAAAAATTAAGCCGTAGGCCTACAATTCTCTGTCTTAATTATTGGCGGTGGATGCAGACTTCAGGGATACGTGAGATATTCTGCCACTGATATAAGAAGGGCTGGGAATGGCAGGAGGATAAAGAAGCAGGACTGCCTTAGGAATAGAGTGTTCCCTGGATGCCCTGCTGTAGAGCTCACTTGATAAGGCTCTCCGGGTTGAAGTCTCAACTATACCACTAACTTGCTTCATGAACCTTGGTAATTGGTGCTTTATTTGCTCATGTTTCTCCCCTGTAGAAGAGCTTATAATAGTGCCTGCCTCGCAGGGTTGTAAGAAATATTGATTGTTAACATGTGTAAACCATTAGCGCATGTAAAGTGTTATGTAAAGATTTGTTAAATAACAAAAGAGAAGTGGTGTTTTACAACTTTACTGTCATAGGCTGAATGTTTGTGTCTCCTTCAAATTCAGACCTTGAAGGCTTGACTCCCTTATGTGCTAATATTAGAAGATGGAATCATGGGAAGTAATTAGGTTTAGATGAGTTTATGAAGATATGGCTCCCATGATGGGATAAGTGCCATTATAATAAGAGGTCAGTGAGCTTTCAAGCTTTGGCTCTCTCTCCCTTTCTGCATTATGAGGACACAACAAGAAGGCCACCATCTGCAAACTGAGAAGAGGGCCCTTACCAAGCATGAAATCTGCCAGCATCTTATTCTTGGACTCCCCAGACTCCAGAACTGTGAAATAATTTTTGTTTAAGCCACCTAGCCTATGGAATTCTGTTAGAGCCGCTCAAATTGACTAAAACGCTTAACTAAACAGAACCACTCTGGTAAAGTCTTATGAATACAGAAAAAAAAAAAAAAGAAATATTTTCAAAGAAACATCTTCTGATTTATCTTTAAAATTTTTGAGTATCAGAAATTTTAACGAAGCGTGCATTTATATTCTTAAGGCATATTAGAATAATTTTTAATCTATTGCTTGTTTGAAATTTTAGTTTCAATCACTTTCTATATAAAATGAAAATTAGTGTAAAATTCTACCCTATCCATTTATTAGAAAAGATTTATGAAATGACTCTGCCTGGGCATTAACAGCTAGCTGCCCAAACTTCTTTATTTTGTGCTAAAGAACTAAAAAACAATAGAAAACATCTGCTTTTAATAATTGCCAGACCCATCCCAAAGTATTGATGTCAGTAAATACTCAGGAAGAGTAAAATTTCTATTTATCCACAGTAACAGCCATGCTAAAACATGAGAAATTTCAAGAATCAGCTCATCATTTGTAGAATTATGTATGTTACTCCTAGAACTTGTTTACTAAAAATTATTTGCTTTTGAGAGGGAAGTAGAATTCTTTTCTTTTCTTAATATACCACTTTCTGTGATATAGCTTATGACAACATCATACCAAGCTTCTGAAGTTTTTAAGAGCACTGGTGTTCTGAAACCTACCATAATAAATCCCTTCTTGTCTTAACAAAGTTGAGTGCCACTGTTATAGGCACAAGTTGTAAACCCATGCAATTATTAACACAAAGATGCTACCTCTAAAATGGAAGCACAGTTTCCTAAATTCCATTATCTTCTTTAATTTTTATTGTATCTTTCAGATTTGACTGGTACAATCTAATATACTTGCAAAATCTGGACTTACTGCTCTATGCCGAGCACTGGCATTCTTGCTAATTGGGCAGCAAAATGAGTGGTGTGGCTCTGCTTTACTCTGACTTGCCTTGAAGATTTTCCTGATATAATTTCCAGCATGAACCTTATTCCTCTAGAGGAACAGATTAGAAAGATAAATAAGAATTACAACTGATTTTAGAGGTAGATCTATGGGGGTGGAGATATGGGACTCTGGAATTACAGACTAGAAGACAGATAACAGGACTGATGATAAGACTTAATAGTCCTCACTCTGTTTATGCTTAGTGACTCCTTTGCTTTCAAGTTTTGCTGCCACCCATACAAAGTGGACAGTGGTACAACTCCTTTGTTGTGTCTAACTCCATGAAGAAATACATAATTGACTTAGTTACATACTATGTATATTTCTTGCTATTTTTTTTTTTTTTCACTAAAGAAAGAGTTAAGGCAGCCTCTCAATGACCAGAGCCTAGGAATACTTCATAGTATTATAAACATAGCAGTTGACATGTTCTGTGGGGGTTTGTGATTTTTTTGAAAACTGTGGTTTATATTAATTGTGTTAAATTTTTCCTTACTGGCTCTGGCACTCCAGCTTTGGGTTGTGGTCTTGCTGAAGAAAACGTCTTGCTTGTCTGTGGTTCTTTAGTGGGTTGTTTGTTAGCTCAGGGTTTGTGACGACCACACATTGAAACATATGCTCTGGAGATAAAGCACCAAAAGAAGAGAAGGGAAGTAATAATTATTTATTAGATTTCAATTCTTAATTATATGCAGTGCTTGAGATTGTCAGTGCACTGTCATTTTAATAATTTCAAGAATGCTGGGAGGCTGGTATCATGAGTCTTATTTTATAGGTAAGGAAACTGGAGTACAAGGTCTTTGAGGTGGAATTAAATTCAAATCCAAGACTGACTGACTCAGAAGCTCATAGGTTTAAAGCCAGTCTTTCTCTAGATGCGGAAGGAAGTGATCGGGGAAGAAGAGGACACGTGAAAGAATCTTAATTAAGTCTATAGAAGATATTTTAGTATTTCTCAACCCTCCCAGAAAATAATGCATTTATTAAAATATTTAATACCATTTGGATTAGGAACCAAACAGACTTGTAGAAGTGATGACAACTAGTAGTGCCCAGAGTTCCAGCAGCCCAGAGAACCTCCTGCTTATTGTGCCATCAGCTGCAAAATTCACTCCATGAAGTTCCCAGTGACTCCCAACACCATATCAGAATCTGACATGAAGATTGAAGGCAGGGTGGGAGTGGTATCTCCCACCTGTAATTCCAGCACTGTGAGAAACCAAGGTAGTAGGATCACTTGAGGCCAGGAGTTCAAAACCAGCCTCAGCAAGGTAGTGGGACCCTGTCTCTATAAAAAAATAAAATTAGCTGGGTGCAGTGGCACAT